CTCACCTTTTAATTTAGCACACGCTTGTCAAAAAGTCAAAAGTTGAAAAGAACGTGAAGCGTGCTCCAGCCCAATTTCCGGTTCCAAAAGACCCGTTCGCAGGCAAACACTGCGCGCAAAGCAGGCTGGTCATTTCCCATTGTTTCACTGCCCCACTCAAGTAAACCACAAAGACTCACAGATGTTGCTTCGCAACATCCGTGAGTCAAAAAGGAAAACATTCGCTTTGAGAAAGATAATAGTACAAGGAAAAACTCTCAAAAAAATTTGACAGGTTAGCAAAATACATTTATTACATAGAAATTAGTTTAAATACACGTTTTTTAAAGAATTAATACCGAAGCAACAGCGAAAAAAACATGTTCATTGAGAATATAAATTGTTCAGAAAAGTTTGCAACGAAAGACAAATGGATTTGCAGTCAACAAGCAATTACTATACTACCAAACATCTCTATAATATATCTGAGTTTTTCTGTGAGATATACCGGTTCTTTCACTTCGTCTTCGAGTTGCAAAACAAAAGTATTTCAAATTTTCAAGGCCACGCGGTTTTTGGCCGAACAAATTGTGAAGACATTGTAACAGAGGATAATTAATTATTACTTCAGTTAATGGCTATTAAACTATATTATAAAACAACTATACCATTCGCTATCGTCGTATATGGCTGATAGCCGACTCGGTGCTACGCACCTCGTCGGCTATAAACTCATATACGATTCGAGCTCATGGTATAATTGTTAAATATATACCACCCACCTAATAGCCAGATGAATGAAAATATGCAAAAACATCATGTCCAGAAAAATTTGGATGGTATTTTATCTGAACAACGAAATGCCCTTATAATAATAACTGGTGATTTCAATCCCAATTCCACCAACCTCCAGTAAGAAGAATTAGCTCAACCAAATCACTTGAAACAATTCAACTCGCACGGTGGTCGGTTGCTATGCATTTTGCTCCCGGAAGCGCGGGCTTCGTTTTTTCCAGCGGTGTTAGTGTGAATGGGAAATGGCGTCGTTTTACTTTATAATAATCAGAAGGGCCATGCCTGTTTGGCTTAAAATTTCTTGCAGTTAGAACAAATTTGTTGGGTATATTTTACAGTAACAGATTTATAAACTTCAATACTTAAATGGAACGATCGTGATAATTTTATTTTTAGCTGTCAAATAACAATCGGAACTATTAACTGCCTTCGAATAGCTCTAGCGTGGCCGCGATATTTAATTTGCTCCTTTACAGTTTATCTTTCATATTGCGGAACGCAAACCAATGTACACACTGTCCGTCTTTTCGCCTAAATTTGTGTTTCTTCATTAGTATATACAGGTAATTTTAGGGAAATTGTCTGACGCTACTAATACAGTGTAACTATACAGACAGAGAAACATGCCGACTGTTTTGGTTGGCGACAACAAATCTAGCTATAGTTCACGCAAGAATTTGTTTGATGAATATCAGAATATGTTCTATTAAACGTTTTCATTTTATGTTTGTGTATGATGTATTTTTGAGATATATAAACACATACTTCCATTGTATCGATGACAAAATATATAGCAGATTTAGCTAGAGTGCAATCATACCTAGGTATACTAAATTTTATATATGAATTATACTGTACGAGATCCGCGTAACCACATAAAATAATATAATAGTAACATATATACTAGTGGTTTAAATTTCTTAAGATACGCAGCTTTTCATGATACAGATTTCATGTCTTTGCGCACACTTTATTTGATCATTTAGTTACAATTCCAAGCGATTTTGCCGTGAGGAACATAATACATACATCTGCCACTATCAGATTACCAAGCCATGTTGTCTTTATTGCGAGAAAACGCTCCCTCAGCGGGCTTAAGTAAAGGCATGTGTAACTGATTTCTTTTGTAAACTATACCTTTTTATAGATTTCATGTCTTTGCGCACACTTAATTTTATAATTTAGTTATAATTCCAAGCGATTTTCATGACGGTTTTCCCGTGAGGATCATAGTACGTCTGTCACTATCAGATTACCAAGGCATGTTGTCTTTAGTGAGAACACGGCTCCCTCATCGGAGCTTAAGTAAAGGCATGTGCAACTGATTTCTTTTGTAAACTATACCTCAGTCTTCTGTAGTTATATTAATGTAAATAAAACTTGTGTAAGGCATGCGATAAGCTTTTATCGAAGTAAAGAAACCAGCTAACTCAAGACACGCAGCAGGAGGCGAAGTAAACAAATATGGCACAACACATCAAGGCAACGTATGAAAATTACATGCGGTTTACAGACCACTTTCTTGCTTTCCTTTTGAACAACTAACCATTCATGTAAGTCAATAATTGGTAAATCTAAATTTTCCCCTTGAGAATTTTCGATCTAGTGCAGTCTAACAATCTCATTTTCTCCAATAAACTGCGAAAATTGACAAATTTGTAACTTATTGGCCGATTCCTCTTGCGCTGTTAAAATTAAGGGGGGGTTGTCAAGGGGGAATTGTTTATATATACATTATCTTACTTAGGGACCCCTAGAAAGTCATTTTAGGCCTTCCATGTGACCGTGTAAACCCCAAAGTGACATCAAAAGTTATGGCAATCTGGAGCCATATTTCTCTATTTAGGTAAATTCTGTTAGGCTGTAAGGAATTTTATGGTCAAGATGAGATATATATCTTCCTATTTCTACCTTAACTTAGTCGATAAGATACAAAAAAGCGAAAATATAGGACGCGCAAAATCGCGTAGCATACTTCGCGTGAAAATGGAACCGCATGACGCTAAGTTCTAATTACGTAATTGAAACCTTAGCGGGAGCAAAATGCTTAGCAACCGACCACCGTTTCGTGACATTTAAAACGAGGGATTCCAGAATCCTAGATTGGACGTTTATGAACAAGTCCAAGTTGTTTGACTTAACTCGGTTGCCCAAAATTGGAACCTCAGTCCATTATACGATATTAGAAAAGCCAAAACCTAAATCTGAAACCAAACAGCCGGTAATTAAGAAGACAAACATACGTGAATCTCGAGACAGTGCTTGGCGTACATTTGGAAGGTGAATTGTAGAGAAGGACTAGAACTCTGTATATTAAACGCTCCCTCCTGTGAAAGTAAATACGATGCTTTCACGTGTGAACTTCGCTCTACCATTGATACTTTTCCCCCACTCCAGACTATAATATCTCTATATTTGTGGTAGTGGTTGTCCATATCGCTCTGGTAGCTTGGTGTTTCTGGACGACTTGCGAATACTTGGTTCATTATTACCACTATCAGTGTGGTTAGCCTTGTTCTGTCCATTGTCGTTGTTGTTAACTGTCGAATCATCATCCTCATCATCTGTATCTACTTTATTGTTCGTTTGTAATGGTTTAAAGTGAGAGACGTTTCTCGTAATGATATGTCCGTATCTGTTGCGTGCTGCAACACGTGAGTGTTGTCTGTTTGTTATAGTATACGGTACTTCGCTGTATTATGATGTAAGTTTGTTTTGTTTTTGTTGTTTAACCAGGGCACGATCACCGACTTTGATGTCGCTCATTTTCACGTTTCGCTTGTTGTCAGCGTATTTCTTGTTGTACTCCTTTTTCGATTCTTCGTTCTGACGAGCTTGTTGGTGGCGGTTGATAATATTCCGCTTTTGTAACACAGGTATTTTCCTTTGACAGTTCTGTTAAATAGCAGTTCTGCTGGTGGTACTCCAGTTGTGGAATGTGGGGTTGTGCGGTATGGCAATAAGAATCTGTTCAGTTCTTGTTGCCAGGGACGACCTTCAATTTTCGCTGCTTTTAGCGTTTTCCCTAGTGGTTGCATAAATCGTTCAACTTCCGCGTTCTCTTGCCGCGGCCATGGCGAAGTTGAAAATTCCGGTTTTATTCCGAGTGCTTTTAAATACCGACTGTACTCTTCTCCGTTGGAGGGCGGACCGTTGTCGGATTTAACTGTGGTTGGTATACCATGTGTTGCAAAAATATTATCTAAGTTTGGTATGACTGTGGTTGCTTTAATGGATTTAACAATCTATACTTCGGGAAATCGTGAATAGCGATCCACTACGACTAGTAGGTACTCGCTTGAGGGTAAAGGACCGTAAAAAAATCAAGATTCACAAGTTCCCATGGTCCTCTAGCCCGCGTGCAGGCCCAAGGGAACTGATAGTGGGCCTGCAAGCAAGGCCCGGTATTTTGTACTTTCCGCGTTCGCCCACGAACGCGGCATTCTGATTGGCTGTTTGCTGTTGGACTCTATTATTAGATCAGTTATTCATCACAAAGGCTCTCGATAAGCTTAAAATTCGAAAATTGATCGCTTTTTTCGATTATAAATGAAACAAGAACAGACTGTTTATTGTTTACTTGAAGGAAGAGATGTTTTTGTCGTTATGCCAATTGCTTGTCGTGAGGTGTTGGAATAGCAACATTACGATTTACGACTGGGGTAAACTATAGTAACCTTAACTTGAGTATCATTAATTTCAAACAGACTTGATACGTTATATGTTCCTCAAGAAAATTCTCATTTGGTTGATGTTGACTCTGTTCTTGCACTGAAGAAAACGCGGTAAAGATTTAGAGGCAGTAAGGCAGTTGCATGTAAGCCTATTCGAAACACTTTGCGATTTACAAGGCTTCGCTGAGGAGCGAAACAGAAGACGGTATTAAATTGCAGTTTGAAACGATGTGGACTCTGAACGCTATCTTCTTTTGTAGAGTTCTTTACTAAATGAAATAACTGAACTAAATTTCGTACTTTCCGCCGCCAACAAGAATTGCACACACGATCTGATAAGTGAGACAATTTATTTATAACAATGGCGACAGCGAAGCACACATTATAAATGCTAATGTACAGTAGTCGCACGACTTCCCTCACGATTTGAAGTTTGAGACTGGTTTTCTGTTGAAATTCGTCCTAATTTGCCTGTTCCTATTTTAGTTGAAAATGAGGCCTTGCAAATTTGGCAAATACTGACTGCGTTGCTTGCTTTTTTGGAGTTAAAACGCAGCCATTTTCACCGTAGAGTGACTATGTTAACACATTGTTTATGTTCTGATGAAGCAGAGAAAACCCCGCAACATATTTTAATGCAAGTTTGTTTGTTAATATTTGGGTAAAATTCCGCAACAGTCTGTTTCATCAGTAAAGAATCATGATGATTCTTTGTGATGAGTGTGTGTAATTGTACACTCCGTAATATGTTAAGATGAAAATGTTCTAGAGTGTGTATTATAT